ATTCCTTTCGGGGATATGATGTATCCCAGGAAGGGGAGAGAATCAGTCTCGAATACACATTTCTCCAACTTCACATATAAACTATGGGCCCTCAGCCTTGATAGAACCCAGCGAACGTGTTTGCGGTGATCTTGCAGGTTGTCCGAATAAACTAATATATCGTCAAGGTAGATGATGACGCAAACGTCAAGCAGGTCTCTAAAAATATCGTTTATAAAATTTTGTATATACAGTTGAAGTCTGAAGCCTTTCTATGAATTCCGAGATCAAGGGTAACGCATATTTGTTCTTTACAGTGACCTTGTTAAGGGCCCTGTAGTCAATGATGGGACGTAAACTAGCATCTTTGTTTCTCACGAAAAACATACCCGCTCCTGCTGGGGAGGTGGATGGTCTAATGAAACCTTTTTTTAAATTTTCCTCCAGGTATTGTTTTAGATGATCTAGTTCGGGTTGTGCCAGGGGGTAAATTCTTCCCGTGGGTATGGCACTGCCCGGCTGTAGATCTATGGGACAATCATACGACCTGTGGGGCGGAAGCGTCTCCGCCTTCTTTTCACTAAAGAGGTCTTTGAAGTCTTGGTAGTGATGAGGAACTGGGGTTACAGTTGCGTGCATAATAGGGATGCTAGGATAACAAGTCTGTCTGCAGTATCCCGAATCAAGAGCCACCTTACCCGCTCCCCATAGGAGAGTTGGTTGGTGGAGCTTGAGCCAAGGCAATCCCAGAATTATGGGGAAGAGAGGTGATGGTATGATGTCAAACGAGAGAAACTCAATGTGGTTGTTTTCACAAGTCACAAGGAGTGGCTGGGTTTGTTCCCTAACAGGGCCTGAGGCCGAGGTGGTGCCCTCAATAAAACTCACGGAGATTGGTACATGCTTTTTAACTTGGGGTATTTTATTTTGCTCTGTAAGATGCACATCAATAAAGTTCCCACAGGCTCCCGTGTCCACCATGGCGTCAACGGTAATTCTGACGTGGTCCCACTGTAAAGTGAGAGAAGTGTAGATATAACCAGTGGTGCGGTGGGGGGTGTTTCCTATCCTACAAAGGTTAAGCATCTTACCTTCCGACTTTTTCTTAATTGCTGGACAGCCTTCAACCATGTGATCAGTAGCTGTGCAATATAGGCAGAGGTTTAAAGCACGCCTCCGGGATTTCTCCCTTTCAGTTAAAGGACCCCTTACCGCTCCGATCTCCATGCGTTCTTCGGCAGGGGCAGGAATGCATTGGTGCGTGAGGGGGGTGTACCCCGAAACCCGTTCCGCTCTGCGTTCTCGCAGACGTCGGTCAATGGCGGTGGCCCGTTGAATTAATTCATCCAGCGTAAAAGGCATCTCTCCCCTGGCCAACTCATCCTTTAGGGCGTCGGAGAGACCGAGACGGAATTGATTCCTAAGACTGATGTCATTCCACTCGGTCTCCCTAGCCCACCGTTTATATTCCGCAATGAAATCTTCTACAGGTCTGCGTCCCTGTTTTAGATTTCTGATAGTAGTTTCAGCTGTTAACTGCTTGCTGTGATCCTCATATAATAGCGACATAGTCTCCAGAAATTGCGGAAAAGAATCCAGCACTGGATCCTCCTTTTCCAAATAAGTATTTGCCCATGCTCTGGGCTCTCCCCTGATATAGGATATCATAGTGAGCACTTTTACCCTGTCAGTGGGGTAGGTCCGTGGCTTTAGCTCAAACATTAGTTTGCATGCATTCAAGAAATCCCTGAACTGCTTGCGGTCACCAGAGAAAAGTTCCGGGGGACTGACCTTAGGTTCAGGTCCGTCTCTTGGATTGACCGGCGCCGGAGTGACGAGGGCCCCTAAGGTCTGATTTTCAAGTTGGAGATCTTGAACTTCCTCGGTGAGGGTGTTGACCCTCTGAGATAGGGTTACCATGTGACCCGCGATCTCTGCTGGATCCATTGGGGTTCCACTAATCTGTAATGCGCCTAATTGCTCTGTCAGGATCTCAACTGCAGAGTCGGGTTGCATCAACTGGAGCACGTCTCCTAGTTGATTGAATTATGTAATGGGTGAATTCAGTCGGAGCTTCAGTGCCACTCTCAATCATAAAACGGAGAGTTTTGAAGCTACCAGCATCATTTATCACCGGTTCTAAACTAAAATGGTATTTAGCACGCAAGTGTTTCCTGATATCATACAAGTATAATTTGTAATGGTAGGAATGCAGCACACGTTACATCAAGCAGTACATGAAAGTCCCAGTATGAGGTTGATAGCAGTATGTGCGAGCAGTTAATACAGCAGTTATATGTACATCCCAGTTATGAGCACAGTATACACAGCAGTGATGGCCAAGCAGGTTTTTCCTAATAGCAGTAATGTGACAATCACTACATGCGGCTGGTAAACGTAATGGTAGCAGTGTCCTAATACCAGAGCACACTGACAAGGGGTACTTGCGGTATTGTGGAGAAATGAACCTTCCACGGGTAGATCCAAGAACAAGGCTGTAGGGGAGAGGTTCCCTCCGTCTGGCTGAAAGATTGTAGGTTCGTCACAGGGGAGATAGCAGGGCGCACACTCGTTTAGTGGAACGCCGCTGCTATGCTCTTCCCCTGTATAAATAGAGCCGCCTTGATTGGACAGGGTCTGCAGGCGTCTGACGGCCGTTGCATTCCACTGTGGAACGCAAGCCGCGCGTCTCGCTATGGAACATGTCGGCGTTGCGCTCCAGGGTGGAACGCAAGACGCCGAATCCATTACACTCTGCTACTTCTCTGCTATCTTTAGCTGTCAAAAATTCATTAGTGAAAGAAAGAAGCTTTTACAAACGCTTAACTATTTCATTAATGAATGCCTCAATACTGAGACATTCATTAATGAATGGTAACCGCTGCGAATCAGCGGTTACCAGCATTACAGAGCCGCAAATAACTGGCAAGTACAGTGTACGCGGCCAGTCATTTAGGCACTTCGTGGGGGGACGTACAGTCTACGTCTCCCGTCATGAAGGGGTTAAATGGGGTGTTAAGGCCATGGACGTTGTAGCTGAGTATCTTAATATCCGCCATCAGATTGCACAGCTAGTCACCTCCTGACACCTATAGCAAGGGGTTCCCACACCAAAGGAAAGGGCCGGACTGACAGGGGAAGAAGAGAGGGGAGAGGAGAGAGGAAAGAAGAAAAGAAGGTAAGGAAGAAGAGTAGGTACGAAAGGTAGAGGGAAAGAACCAGAAGTAGAAAAGAAAAGGAAAGGGGAAGGAGTTCCCAGACAAAGTTCTCAGTATTACAAAACAAGAAAACTGAAACAAAGTGTCACCAAAACGTGTTCCGATGGAACCAAATACGCCATTTGCGGGGAACATGGCAGAACCATAGAAGGCGCAGCCAGGCGGGCCAATTCCCAGGTAGCCAGATAAGACACAGCGCATACCTATGTCTGAAGCCACCAGGGCCGACACATACCCGCAAAGATCGTAACGTTAGCACATCAACATTGTATCAAATTATCAAATATATATTTACCAACAACTTAACAGTAGTACATCCCGGTGCCGGTTTGGTGGACGAAACCGGCACAAGTCATAACGAGGTTGCATGTGAGGGATCTTCAGGACTCAGCCAGGTGTAAAGGCACACTAACAAGGGCTTGGCACAAGTAACAAAGAAAAGTAGAACAGACAGCACCTGTTCAGGTATTGCGCTGAGCGGGTGGCGTTGGGGCACCAATGGCCTTCCATGGTTGATCAGACAGCGGAGTTAGGGTAGGCAGGGCATCCCCCCATCCAGGCAGCTGTTTTGCGGTGATATGGAGAGACTCACAAAAGCCCACCAGGCCTTCAGTCTTGCCTTGTCTTCGGGCAATCAGACAGGCCAGAAAGCCCCAGCAATATTGGATGTTGTTGGAGCGGAGGAGGTCCAGCAACGGACGCAGAGCCCTGCACCAGAGGAGAGTTTCCCTAGCCAAATCAGGGAAGATTTGAATGGGAGCTCCGTCGAAATCTGTGTATGTGGTCTCCAGGAGTTTACTCAGGATAGCTTCCTTGTCGGTATAGTAGTGCAGGTGACAGATAACATCTCTGGGGGTCTCCGTCGGTAGGCCCCGTGCTCTCAGCGCTCTGTCGAATAGAAGGGGCAGTAGGAGACTTGCCCAGGATGGAGTTGAAGATACCACGCAGGGTATCAGCCAGGTCGGGGTCTGTGGTCGCTTCAGGGATCCCTCTCACCCGCAGGTTGTTACGGCGTCCTTGATTGTCCTGGTTCTCAAGGCGGTAGGAGAGGTCCCGTCGTGTCCTGGCCGTAGTCTGGAGGTGGGACTGTAGAGCCGTCATGGCAGTGGCATGCCTCTCTAGTCAGCTCTCGTTATCCTCCACCCTGTGGAGGAGATGGGTGACCTCCACCCTAAGTGAGAGTATATCGGCTTTTAGGGAGTGTTCGAGATTGCGGAACATGTACGCCAGGTCATGCTTGGTGGGAAGAGTGCGCACCAGTTCCTCCATCGGGACAGTGTGTTGGGAGCCATCGTCACCCGACTCCTAGCAGGGATAGGGTGACTCAGGGTCTGGGCCACGCGGAGACGAGTGCAGGGAGGAAACAGCCTGCGAGCTAGATGAGGCCGCACCATGTGGAGTGGCCGAGCCCGGCCAATCCATCGCCAGGTACTTTTTAATACCAGCGGACAGGGTTTTTGAGGCTTCCAGTCTTCTAATCCATGATGAGGGCGAGGAGCAGAGGGTACGTCTGATTACGGGATGTCAAAAAAGCAGGCAACAAGGTCGGAGCTCCAGCTAACCACATCTAGCCGCCGTCATGTCCTGGACATGCCCCACCTTGGTAGGGTTAGAACAGTCAGTGGAGCTACCGTAAATTTGGGAGGACAGGTTTTTGTGGCCATGGCATGGGGGTATTGGACAGACTTGTATTGATTAGTTTACAGTTTCCTATAACCATGTTTAGTATGCTGATAGAATAAGCAAAATATGTGTTTTGTAACAAAGGAATAAACACTGAAAAAATTTGCTTCAGTTTCATACCTGGAAGATTCTTTTTTATTGGTTGTTGATCTGGTTTGTTGGGACATTTGATCAATAAAGCTACAAACAAAATGGAAAAATAATTATGTTAACAACACAGTTTAAATGTCTACCCTTATATTTACACACTGCTCTTAATATATACATTTTTTTCTGCAATCATCAAGCACCATGAGCCACTGTGTGAGTTAGCACTCCTCCCTTGCAGCACTACGGTCTCTGGTTCAAATATAAACCAGAACACTATCTGCAATAAAGTTACACGTTCTCCCTGTGCTTGCGTGAGTTTCCTCTGGATATTCCAGTTTCTCCCACACTCAAGACATGCTGGTAGGTTAATTGGCTCCTGTCTATATTAGCCCCAGTGTTTGGGTGTGTATGAATACATGTGAGATAAGGAATTTAGATTGTAAGCGCCTTGATGGCAGGGACTGATGTAATCCTTTCCTCTTCCTCTTTCAATAGGATTCTCCCAGGATCTGTTCTTAGACCACTTCTATTCTCTATGTTCACCTCCTCCCTTGGTCAGTTGATAACCTTGCATGACTTGCAGTACCATCTCTATGCTGATGACACACAAACCTATCTCTTCACTCTCCAGTTCACCCCTTCAGGTTTCTTGCATCAAGAATTCACTAACTGACATAACAGTATGGATTTCACACCACTTCTTCAACCTTTTCTTTCAATCTTTCAAAAACTGAGCTAATGATATTTCCTCCCAACGTGCCCTCTCCCCTGACTTATTTCCATTGTGATAAATAGTACAACTGTACTTCTCACCCCTCATGCCAGGGTGCTAAGTGTAATCCTGGACTCTGACCTCTCCTTCCAGCCCCACATCCAAATCTTGCCACCTTCACCTCTGTAACATCTCCTAAATACACAATTTTTAACCAATGAAACCACTAAGCTACCTATACACTCACTTGTTATCTCTTGCCTCAAGCAATGCAACTCCCTCCTCATTGGCCCGCCTCTACACAGGTTATCTCCCCTTCAGTCCATCATGAATGCTTCTGCCAGGCTCATCAACCTTTTTAAACACTCAGTGTCTGCAACCCCTCTCTGCCAATCCCTCCACTGGCTTCCAATATCCCCCCAAAAATAAGATTTTGCAATATTAACAACCATCTACAAAGCCATCTGCAAATCTGCCACTAGCTACATCACCAGCCTTATCTAAAAATATCACCCAAACTATCCTCTCCACTCTTCCCAAGATCTCCTGCTCTAGCTACCTTGTCAACTTCTCCCATGCTTACTTCCAGGACTTTTCCAGACTCTCTCTCTCATCCTCTTGAACTCCCTACACGAACCTGTCTGGTTATCTACTACTCTGTCTTCCTTTAGGCAATCCCTGAAAACTCATCTTTAGGGAAGCCTATCCCACCTCTAAAAACGGAACTTTTACTTTCTCAAACAAATCATCCTCACACAGCTACCACCTTTTGTATCACTTGCCCTTCTCTTTTAGATTGTAAGCTTTCACATATAGGGCCCTCATAACCATCTTGTCTTGAATTAAATTGTATTGTACTGTCTCCCTTTATATTGTAACGCACTGTGCAAACTGTTGGGCCCTATATAAATCCTGTATAATAATAATGTGAATAAATAGTATGTAAAGCATTTCATAAATTGCTGGCGTTATATAAATACCTGTAATAAATAAACGAATAGAGTGTAATAAATGAAGACTCATGCACGGTTGACAAAACTCTTGTTAAAAATGTTGATGTATGAACTGATTTGGGCCACTGGTATAGTGACTCTTCCTTGTCCACAGTTCATTTTTTATGTTGCAATACAAAGAGAATCAGTATTCTTCGCCACTTCAACAATAAGTGCTTCCATGTTTCAATTCTGCCACAGATCCAGACTTTTAGGTCCACCAAAAAACTCCCCCAGGAAGAAGTGAGGCTGTGAGCTTGACCTAGCAGATCAGTTAATTACGTGCAACAATTAAAGCTGAACTGCAATTTCAAAAAAAATAGGATTTTATTCGTACGCACCATAAAATCCTTTTCTTTGCGTTCATTGAAGGACACAGTGATGCTCTCGAATATCTGACTATTAGGTTATAGTGCCATCTTTAAGAGCAGGACACTAGGCAAAAAAACCCCAACAGCAAAAGCAGCTCAGTTAATCACAAAGCATTACAAGGAAGTACATATAACAAGATATGGTCACAGACAGAACAATCAGAGAGGTGGGTGCTGTGACCTTCAAAGAACAGATAAAAGGATTTTACCATGAGTATAAAAAAAAATACTACTTTTGCTTTCATTCATTGAAGGACACAGCAGAGAATCTCTGACCATTGGGATGTCCCAAAGCAGTGTCTACTGAGGGGTGAGAAAAAAACTAAATAATCCCCCAGGCAGGACAACAGATACAATAAATGTGCAATGGCCAGATCCACCTAGAAAAAAGGGCCACAAGAGCCCAAAGACCTCTTCTAGGAAGCTCGGATAATGGACTTCAAACAAGCACTGGCAGAAAGGTAAATCTGCACAGTACAAAAATAGACACAGTGAAAGCCGTGGAGGCACTGGAACTGGACAGAAAGATATAGGAACTATGGCCTATCACCATGAGGTATACGCTGAAAACCATAGCAGGCAGGAAGGAAGCTTTGGCCCCATCACCACTCCATCCTCATTCAGGACCAGAGAGGGTTCTGCAGGACAGCCACCAGCTCAAAACCATGCCTCACAGATCCAGCAACTTAGCATAACACAGACCTGATCGTAACAGGATAGGATTAGCCCCACAGAGAACTTACTGAATGAAAACTACACAAGCGCAGCACAGATGCAGGACGTTAGGGTATACCCTGCAGAGATCAGAATTCCTAAAATACACAGCGTAGGAATCACAGAGAGACCCTGGTCAAGCATAAGCTAGGTTACAGCAGCCAAGTCGTTAAGTCTGCGACCGATAAACAAGAATGAAGAGGCTAAAGATCTAGACTGACAAGAAAAGCCCACAGAGTATCCACTAGTAGCTTGGCAGGTCAGAGTATCCTAGTCTCCTGGGCCATATTGGAACCAGAAGGAGCACTAGAACAAGGATCATTTCAATCCTGCAGAGCAGATGACGGAGGATTGCAGAGGAATGAAGGAGCACAGCAGGCATACTGATCCCACGGTGCAACCCAAGCATCTGCTTCACCAACAAAGGATCCTAGACTGAAGACAAATTCGTCCACTGAGTTTGTGGCTACTGGAAAACAAAATGTCCATGCCCATTGACTACCAAACTTGGAACACATAGGGTCATAATCGCACTCCACCGAGTCCAGGCCACATGCAGGAGGTATATGGCGGGGAACGCAGGAACGTGACATGCTGGCCAGGACTGATCCTCGTAACTGTTCTAGATGCAATAAGGCTATGGAATCCTCCTGGAAAAATATGTACCAAATTCCTTATGTTGTCTGACGAAAGATGGAACGAATGACCCTCCAGCAGGAAAGTAGAAACAACCAGACCCTCAAAGCTCCAGAAAGTTAAGTAGGAGACATGACTCTAATGTTAGAAATTATGATTATTCCGCGCTATGGATAACTAAATCTGAAATCAGTGCAGGAAGCTGTTGTACTATAAGGTGCAATGGTAAATGTGAAAAGTGCACAGCGCTAGCAAAAAAATGTTTTGCTTTCCCAACAAGTTCCAAATAAAGTGCCTTAAATATTTAAAACTTAGCAGTTTATAAATCTTAATAAATATCTCTTCTTAGAGGTGGTATGAAAATGCCAAACCAAAGGAATAAATATTGCAATTAAATAAATAAATGTGATACAAATGATAACAGATGAGAATTTTTTTTAAATCTAAAACTTCAATATAATATGTGTAGATATAAGATCAATTATTTCTGTATAAACAAGTGATAAAAAGTCCAATCCGTGCTCCACAGAGCGAAAGCGTCTTAATTTAATTCAAAGTTCAAATACAAATACTCCACATCATTAAACTTCCACAGTTTTCAGGTGAAAAAATAAGAAGTGTATCTCTCCCCGTGCTGAAATCTCTTATCCGCACTCACCAGAGTAATAAGATGATCAGAGCATATGTGATACAATGTTGCAAAGTTTTTTCCCACCCTCTGAGTCTCGTGCTCCTTTCCACTCCATAGTCAATTTGCTTGATTAATCTCCACTCACAGTGTACATGGGTGCAAAAATGGAAAAAAGGGCCTCAGTCATGAAGGGGTTAAAAAGCAAGAAACCGCTCATTGTGTAGTATGAACGTAACAAGCTTTAATCAAAATAAAAAAGCTCTACTCACATGCAGTATGTTTAAAATTAGCCGGTTAATGGTGCAATAAAAGACAATCCTCTGGGGGGCGTGGCCGAACATGGTGGTGTGAGGACGTGCAGCCGTGAGCTCTGCTGCACCGGGGCTCTATACAATAGACTTTACAGTTGAATCTGCAGCTTTCTCCCTCCTATGCCCGACAACCAGGACTCACCTGGTGCCCCTGTCTCCTCATCCACCCGGGACATCGCCACCTATTTCCCGAGGCGCCCAAATGAAGTCGCCGTCCCGCAAGGCCGCTATATGGCGCCGAGGGCGGGAACGGATCCTCTGCAGCCACAGACACCGGCCCAGAGCCTCCGCTCTTCAGCACGCTCCACTGCGCAGAGGACACTGGACCCCCTGCAGCCTTTTCAGTCCTCTGGGACACTGACTCCCTCCTCAGCCGCCCTTGATCCATCGATGCCGGCCGTCTTCCTGGACACAGAGCAATCTGCAGTCACAGAGGTGCGTGACCTTTTCACTGCCTTTCGGGCAGACTTTGACACCTGGGCCACGAGAGGGGAGGTGAATGAACTCAGCCAGAGGGTCAGTGCCACTGACTGCCATTTAACGGTCCTGTCAGACTCCGTCTCGGCGCTGGAGACCTTGGAAACAGCTCAAGCTACACACCAATCCCACCTCCAGCAGTTGCATCTACGGATGGAAGATGGCGAAAACAAGAGCCGACACAATAACATACGCTTGCAGAGGATCCCAGAGGCTACCCAGGGCCCTGATCTGCACGCTACGGTT